TTTTAATCTTTCGTCTACTTTTATACGAATCACATTTTAACTGTCTAAAAGAACACATTTAACAATTGTTAAAGCACCAAAATTAGTTTAAAACAAAACTTCTCATTTAAACTGGCTGAAATATTCAGTATTGCAAAGAAAGGATAATACTTTTCATGATTCACTCTGTGCTGAAAATACGGTTGGCTGCCATATTTTTCAGTACGATATGCAGGGACAGAGAGGAAAGAGGGTGGCTGCATGCGATACCTTATTAATCGAGTAATATGACTGGCGTAGACATTGCTATTTTACAGCTATCTCTACTGCTTTTGTATGCATTTTTTGTCATAACGGTCACATCGAAAATCCTCACAATTGCTTTCCATTTTATTGAATGATAAATTTAAAACTACTAAATATTTTGCCTTTTTATCAACATTTATTGTAGCACTATTGCTTTCCACCATTATTGATAATTTTACGGGTACTCCTGACTAAACCATTGCTAAAGGTTGGTAACCGCTTGCTTAGATCGATTTCTGTAAATTTCGAAATAATCCTTGAACTACCATAAGTAGGTCATTACAGTAACTAACTAATAGTAATAAAATTGAAATTTAAAGATCATTAAAAAAGAAAATGCCAAAAGACATAATCCAATTAAATTTTGTTAATGAAATCATAAAGATATATACATGTAGTACATAAGAAATATATACATATAGTATATAAGAAATAAAATCTGAATTGCATTTGTGTTTTTTTTTATTTTAACTGCATAAGTTGATCCCTTTAAGATCATATAATAAAGCACTTCTTAAACAGTTTTAGTTAAAAATATTTTAGCTATAAGTTAATATGCAGCTAAATTTTCTTTTAACTGCATAAGTTGATCCCTTTAAGATCATATGATAAAGCAATTCTTAAACAGTTTTAGTTAAAAATATTTTAGCTATAAGTTTACAAATGTCTAATTTTCTGACTATTGTGATTGAGATATCCGTGATTAATTAATAGTTGCTTCTTGTTGAATTCTGATTCTCGCTGAAATTTCAAAAGTATCAGAGTTTTATTTTTAATGATTTTACATATAGAAATGGAAATCAGCAAGCTAATTTGTTATAAAAGGAATACCAATTTTACAATAAATTATAATAAATGTTTGAAATAAATATAAAAATCTAAAGCAGCTTAGAAAAATGCTATTTTGTTTTTCAAATGTATTTAGTCTATTTATTTCCTTTTTATCACTCGTATGCTTTCTTCGTTTTAATTAGTTAATTTCTTAGTTTTCTACAAAAACACAAGTAACATAAAAAACGAAAATAACTTTTGCCGTAAATAACGAATGCATTTTTCGAATAATTTAAACATATTCTTTTCTTAAGGTCATTCTGCGGGTTTCTGATCATAAATACAAATCAAGCAGTATAAAACCATAAGAAAATTTCACTGCATTACATAAACATAATTTTTTTCTATGATCAGCAGCTGGAAAATTCCTTTTTGTAAAAAGTCAGTAGGTTCATTCTCAAAGAAATTATGGAAATGCTATTCGACAGTCGCAAAAGAAGTGAACTCCAGGCAGTTCAGAGAATTTTGAACTGACCTGAAGAGATGAAAATCAGAATATGGGATGATATGGGGTGAATATGAAAATCCCATTCCACAATTACTCATAAGTCTGTTTGACATTCATCGACATGTGAGGTTGGGAATTGCCACGATGGAAGACACCATGTCGAAGATTGTTCAATTTTACTTCGAAAACTGAGCCCTTTGGAAGCGGTATTTTCTAAATTTAATTTCTTATTTGATGGCAGTAGTTTATAGTGTGCAGCTCCTTGGAGTCCCACCATACACAAAGTATTACGTTTTTATGATGAAGCCGCCCTCTTTATCTTACTAAAGGAGATTCAATTTGCTTAACCAAGACCATTTTTCTTGTAACATTATTGTACAGTACCTACTTCTTATCTCCAGTAATGAGCTGTTTCAAAAACGAAGCTTCTTTATTTCTTTTGAACAAAGAAGATCGTGCCGAAATTTGAACAAATATATTCTGCTCTGTTAGAGTATGGATACCCGTATATCCCAGCAGCTTGCAATTCTAATCTTCCTCAAATGATCCTGTGCTGTATTTTTTTAATATTTAATCTGTTTGATAGTTTCTGAACTATATAACGTGAATTTTCAGCAACAGCTTCTTCAAGCCTGAAATTTCTACTCATAACTTTCACGAACTGTGTTATCAGAAGCCGCACTTTGTCGATTTTTTTTCAATGGCGGCCTATGTCGGCATCAGCCACTCCTAAGGCCAAATGTGGTGGTCTCTTTATTATGGAGGCACCTAATAGGTGGGCCAACTTTGCCTTCTATGAAGGGACTGACAATTACATCCATGCCTTCTCCGGGATTCGATCCCGGGCCCTTTGGTATCGCAGTCAGGCTACCCTAACCACTATACCGTTTGGGCGGCGTACTTTGTCCATTACAGCACAACTTTTCACTTATTTTTTCCGTTTTAAAAATAAAATCTGCCGTTTGAAAAACCGCAAAACTATCTGAATGATCTTGAATTCTTGAAATGATGGATTATTGATTTAACTCATGACGGCATGCTGAATAGGAGGGCAGTTAAGGAGTCCCTGTAGAACTCCAGGGCATTCCTGCACCAAGGCAGTTTTCAACTCGGGGAGGTTTCTCGGAGGGGAATGGGGAGACGAAATTGCCTTCCAAAGGGCGTATCGGACACGTCCTATAACTTTACGGTCAGGAGATTGGACTGTCGAATCTATGCGGAGATTATCTTCACTTTACAGGAAATCATCGACCAGCTGAGCCCTATGTGGACGAGAGTTGTGGTCCATTAACAGGAACCCAGGACCAATTGCGTGCCTGAAATGTCGAACATAAGGCTCAATGATCTCCTTTCTGTGCCTCATATTAGTCACGGAGCCTTTGCCAAATAAATGCAATTGTGTGCGGCCGTCCAACCTAATGTCTGCCAAAACCGTTACAACTCCACCACCATAATGATTCCTTGCCCTGATGGGGGAATGGTATCGTGTTCCGAGCTATCTTCAGATACAGGTAAGCTGAGACTTAGTGTTCAGGCTGAATCTCGATTCATCTGTGAAAAGCACAATGCTTCACTGAAAGTCTACTGCAAGGCACATGTTATCTGCATCATGTTAAAACGCGTTTTCTTCTTGTGAGCTGCGTGAGCGGGACACAGACAGCGGGTTCTCTGGCATACAGCCATATCTCACGAAGGCCTTTGGGCAAATGTAGGCCGTGAAACTTCGGTTCCGGTAGGAGCATACAGGTCACATGGCGCAGCAGGTCTTTGTCGGAAACCTGAAAGAACCAAACAAAGATCCTCATTCGTTGCTGTGGATCTTAGTCAACCATGTGCAAGCCTTCTCGATATGGATCCAATTCCCAGCTGCTTGTCCTAGACAGATCTGAGCCCCGGACAATAACCGAATAGTCTATGTAAGCGGCCTGGTGTTTGCACCCGTATTCACCTGTCACTTGAAACTATTTCCACTATTTGCAGACGACACAGGGCATTACATTGAGCTGTCTAGACACCATCGCTTGTGATTGGTCTGCTTGCAATCTACCAACAATTCTCCATCTCATTCCGTCATGCATACGTTAGCGGCTATTCATTTTACTTTACACCTTATAAAATTGACCTAATTCTTGAGAGAAAGACGAGAAATGTCATGAAGGAGTATGAACACACAAATCTCCGAAAACTCCTCGTTCACTGATATCCCGTTCCCAATCACAGCTCCACAAACAAGCACGTGTACATTTACCTATTCGACTCTAAATACTTGCACACTTCTTCAGCATCATAATTGTAAATTTGGTTCAATACCTCTCGTAAAAATAAACTTCTCTTAAAGCAAATTCCTTGAATTTTTGAATATATTGTTACGTGCGTGCGGGTTCGTTATGAAATAAATGCGCAAGTCCGATGAAAAATGAAAAAAAAAATTATTATTATCACAACAAAAATGCTTAAGTTTCCTCAAATTATCATGCAGTATTACAATATCTCACCGTAGTTATCTTTTAATTACTCAAATGTCCAATAGAACGTAATTCAAAACAGCTAAAGAAAGCTAATCCGCGAATTCGCTACAATCAACAAGAGCAGTTTTCTAAAACAACACTCTTAAAACAACAACAAGCTAACTAAATCACTACTACTGAACTGAGATGTTTTCCTCCTTTTATAAGATTTTAAAATCACGCGCTAGAATTTTCCAGTACTTTCTCGAAATCAAAAAGAGATATTTATTTAATTTAATGCACGCGCTCTTGTATTTTCAATTTCCGGCTTAGCTTTCTTTTAATATTCGTCACGCGCTGCACTGCGCGAGAAATAAAACCATTTAATTTATAATTGAACTAACATTAGCTATTTAAATACCAAATCCGTAAACTCTGGAAATCGAAAAATAAAATCGATAGCAGTGCTTCGTATATAGAAGTTAAATTTATTCTTATATAATTTTAAAGATGGATTAATTTTAATCGATTTTACCCTATAAAGAATTCCTCTTTCCTATAATTTGCCTTTTAAATTGTAATTTTAGCATAATTATTTCTTTTAAAATATTAGAATTTTCTCCCTAAAAGTATAACATTATCTCTAAAGAAGCTGTTTTCAACCTTTAATAGGAGAAATTGATTTCATGGTCTAGTAGAGCGTGTAATAAAGAAATTACCTCCAATGGACATTTTATAATATAAGCGCTGAGAAAAAAGCTTTTTACTTTTAATCTTTCACATTCGCAAAAGATTCTGCCTTATGTGAAATTTAGGTTTTGATCACTAATTTCGTTTTTTACTTAGGTTTTGATCACTAATTTCGTTTTTTAGAAAAGTCTGTCAACGACGATATAAGGTATCCAAGCAGGTCGGAGAAAGGTGGAAGTCTTTATGAAACAAAATACACTTAAAAGATACTTATTTCTCTAACATTTTGAATTACTTACCTAAGGCTAGATATGTCTTGCTTGATTTCTAACAAGTCATCTTCATTTACGCCATCTTGACGTAGCTGTTTCTTGGCCTGGTGAATGTATCTGCTTACTAATCTTTTCATAACTTCCTGCATTAAAAATAGACAATGTAAGACAAAAATTATTAAAAATAACTTTACAACATTAAACAAATTTCTGAGGGACAAAAGTATCTGTATATAACAAGGGAAGAAAATAATTTAGAAGGTAGAAGTTTCTTAGTCTTAGTTTAAGCGAGTTGAAGATAATTTTAATCAATTAATCAAATTTAATATTATATTATTAATTAATTAATTTAATTAAATATAATGCGATTAATAATTAAGTAAATGGCGAAGTATAAAGGCAAATAGTTTAATGAAATTTTAATGATTCAAGAATGCTGTAATATACTCCGTGCAATGGGACTAGATATGGATATTCTTTAAAATAGAATATTCACATTTTTATTGGAGTGCTAATGTTAGGAGAAAAGGTAATTTTTTTTACATCTTAACTAAAATTTAGTTATTAATTGAGAGTGCTCTGAAATTTTTACAAACAATACTCTAAACCCTGTTATGCATGCTGATTTGAAATAGTGTGAAATAAATCGTTTAATTAATATTTGAACATTTTAAGTAAGTAGAAAAAAAAAGAAAAGTATTCGGAAAAGAAAAGATAATTAAAGCTTGAAAACTATTAATACGAAGTAAAATAATGAGACCCTTTTATCTCCCTTGTATAAGAAATAATTAATAACAACAACAACAATAATAATTGGGCACTTATGTCGTTTTACTGTCAGCTATTAAAATTCCAAGGATTTTCAACCTGGATTTGAATTACAGAATGAATTTTGGACTTTATAGGAGAGAAGTTTACAGACTACAGTCACGACAGAAGAAAACGCGATCCTTACCATAAGAGAATCTGGCAAACTAGACATACTGATTAGACTGAAAAGATTTCTTACTCTTGAATTTACCAGACAGCCTGCTCTATTTTTTGGTAAGTCTACTGAAATTATGAATGAGTTTCCGTCGCTACTTTCTTCGCTTTCCAAATATGATGGTGTAAAGGCTAGGGCCGAATTAATGTATATCGAAGATGATGCAACGCGCTTAACAATAAACCCCTAAGAAGCCTAGTGCACGAGTGCAACGTTTCTGTATCAAATCCGTATGATGGTATCCCGCTAGATGAAGATGAAGTTAAAACAAAAAATCTGAAAGAGGCTAACTATTACCGTAGACATAAAAGTCTATTTCAGCCCTTATCTCAATAAACTCCACCTCCTGCTCCTGCCGAACCAATGGCTGAAGTTCTTGCATCAGACAACTCCAATGATGATGCAATGCATTAAAATATTTCAAATTCTGAAATGGATATAAATCAGGAAACAAAAATTGCAAATAATACAGAATTCTTACCCCCGAAACGGACTGCCGCCTATTGTTATGAAGGAATACAAGTGGAAAAGCTTCAGAAATATGATCAAAGACGATGATATCAAGGATTTAATTAAAATGTTTGACTCTCACTTTAAAGCATTCATGAAAAACGCTCAGATTCACAGAGCGATATCTTGCCCCTTTTTACTCTAAGGGACTGACTATTATCACTCCTTTATCTTGCCTAAAGAATGCAAGGTTAAAGCAATTATTAGAGGACTTCCCCCACACACCAAAGCAGAGGACATCCAACATGAAATAATTTCTTTAGGGTATCAATCGTCGAGACTGAGCAACTGATCCACAGAAGAGGTGGAGAACGTATAAAACTTCTATTATTCCTGATCACTCTCCCCGAAGTAACAACGCGAGAACTTTCTCCAACATTAGATTCTTGCAATGTCCCCACCCGATGCTACTACTAAAAAATCCATCTATCATGCTTAAACTTCTGGAAGATTTGCCTCCAAGTGTCTCGAGTGTGCTGAAAAATATTTTTGCAGGAATTGCTCCAAGAAAAAAGAGCATAAACCACCCTGTGTCAACTGTCTTCAAGAAAACACTGCAAATTATCGTGGGTGTGAACAATTTCCTAAATTCACGAACTCTGACAAACTCAATCGTAAAAATCACTCCGATCGCTTAATCTCCAACAAAAACTATGAGAAGACCCTTGCCGCCCTTACAAAAGGCCTGGTCAATGAAGCTAGTAAAGGTCTAGAAGACGTTCCAAGTCCTTGTAAAAGATATCAAGAACTCTGGAATTAGCGATATCGTACAAAGCATCAAAGAAAGGCTTGACTTCAAATACATATCCCCAAAGGCCTGATGCATAAGTGCGACGTTTCTGCATCAGATCTATCACAGGACGCCGTAAAACAACCATGGGATCATGGATACTGTACTTCACAAATTATAATGGCTGTATGAAATTCATGCAGCCTTAAAAGCCATGTTTGACGAGCTACACGATTTCATTATGGAAAATGACACTGACAATTGTATGGTCATTGAAACACACAGCAAGTCTAATGATAAATTAAAAAGCATGAGCTACCACTACTGTCGTTGTAATAGGCTCTGGCATAGAGATGGCGAGAGTCTTGATTTATATGAAAAATAAATTTTCTTGCTTAATATCTTCGGAAAGCAGAAAAGGTTACGATAGTGTGGTTGTCTCAGTCTGTCTTCAAAACCACGGAGACGTCTTCGCTGCAGTGCGTTGTGATGTTGCGTGGCCCCCAACTTAGTTAAAATAAATATAAACCCTACAGCGTAACCCCCAGATGATAAACTTACTGACAGTGTCCTCTCCTACATTTTCCCCGACAACTTGCCTGTCATTGTTGGCGGAGGTCTAAATGCAAAGCACACCGATTGGAGGTGTAGAAACACAAATTTAAACGGCAAGGTCCTGCAACAGTTCATCTTCAATAATTCCTTCTAACTGTCTGCGACTGACGAAAGTTATACAGATACCGCTTCATCCAGGAAGACAGAGAGACATACTCAATACTTAATAAGTCTGGCATCCTTATGGCAACATATACTATGGATGGACTTATTCCGGAGCGCATTCTGATCACAGCTGAATTGGGTATCAGCAAAATCTAGTCTCCTAATGGTAAAGTCCTTCCAGATTAGGTGATGTTCCATAACATTCTCAGGAAACCGTCCTAAAAGCAAAGGTCTCTCAAAACAATCCCACAACGATAAAACGGTTGATGAATTTAACACGCGCTTTAAAGACGCATATCATGAGGCCACGAACATTGTGTCTGTAAAAAAATCTGTAGGAAAACTTAAAAATATAAAACAACTTACACAATAAGAAACTGTCTAAGTAGGACTTGACAACATACATGAGATCTGGCAATAAAAACAGAACTAAACTCCATTCGAAAGAAGATTAAAAAGAAGTTAAGAAATTCCGTGCTGAAAAATGGGAAGAAACAATAATGGGAAGAAGTAGAGCTAATTGATGGATTCTTCTGAAAATTTCTCAGATCCCTTAGAATAAACGCGAATGCAATCAGCCTATTAGTGTATTCAGATGTTGACAAAGTGAGAGCTTTCGCTGAACGTTTAGAACAGCAGTTCGCTCCTAACGTTATACTAGTGGACCCAAATTTCAGCACACAAGTTGAAGAATTTGTTGATTTCGGGACCTGTGCCCCCTCAGCATGTCCTCTTCCTAATCTCATTACTGGGAAAATTAAAAACATAATACGCAAGTTGGACATTAAAAAGTTCTCCTAGGCCTCGATTGAAGTTACGAACATGTTACACAATTTACCTTCCAATACTTGCCAAATTTGTTGGAATTACCAATGGCAGCCTGACGTTAAGTGGCTAAGTTAATTTCTTAGAAAAGTGACAAGATCTTTGTTTTTGCCAAACTTGGAAAGGACAACACCAAAATGGATATTTTTCATTCTATTAGTTTGCTTTCCAGTCTCAGCAAAACATAACAGCATATTATCTCGAAAGGAGGATTTTATATCTTCATCTACTTCTCTCCGACCAGTATGGATTCAAGAAAGAACTCTCTGCTTCAAACAGATAGTCAGGCTGTTAAATTTATCTCGGCTGTTCTACACCTTAAGAAATGCACTGCTTTCCTTATTCTAGACATTGAGAAAGCATTCTACAGCATTTGGCATAAGGGGTTGATCTGAAAACTGATCAAGATGAACTTATGTCGGGGGTTTAGATATTGAGGACTGGTGCAGATATTGGAGGATAAATATAAATATTTCAAAGTTTCTGCTCGTCAGGAGCCTCGGGATTCGGCAAATAGCACTGAACAACCTCTACTTATTTGGGGAAAGTGTGCACCGAGTAAGGTATCTGAGGGTGATAATTAACCATAGGTTTACATGGACTTGTCATATTAAGCACGCTATAGGAAAAGCCTGTGATACCTCCTATCAACGTTTGTTACTTCTCAGAAACTACTCTGTACTGCCTCTCAACAAAAAGAAAAGGATTTACCTATGGATTATAAAGCCAGTTCTACGCATTTTGAGCTTGGGCCTCAGCCTCAAATGCAGACTTATACAAACTTCACGGAGTATAAAATAAGATTTTGAGTAGAATTGTAAAAGCTCATTAACTGATTAGAGATAAACTGATTAATGATGACTTAAAAATAGACTTTAGAGTGGACGATATTACTTAACTTAATGAGCGTTTCTTTAACACTGAACTTAACTGTGATGCTGTACATTTTTGAGAAGTTCTTAATTACCAAATAATTCCGGAAAATAATTTAGTCAGACTATTTGTTAGTCACACGCTTAAAGACCACAATTTCGTAGCCTAGCTTGGCCTGCTGACTTTTACTTATTTTCTTGCTTCTCGTCGCATCCATCTTATTGGCACTCTTGCAGTACGGGAGATGATAATCTCACTTTTACCTCACTTTCTTGACCGTTCTCTCATTTTTACCTGCTAATTCATCAAAGTGATGTGCCCTCCGAGGCTTAATTTTCTTATCTAGCATATTAAGGCCTCTCTGGGGCCGTATAAGTGAAATCATAATCCATATCCTGTACAGATGCATTCCATGAAAGCTTATTACGGGATTTATCTTGGGCTGCTAACCACAGTTTTTCTTTTTACTTTAATCTGGGATATTTTATGCTAAGTTTCATGAATATTGTCTTTCTATTATAGTATTTCGTGCCCTGGATTATTCTTTACAAGTTTTTTCACGAATAATAACAGTAATACTAATAATAATTAAAAGGCCAACCAATTAGCGTCAATGTGAAGCCAAGATTTTACACTGCACATTTTAGGCTCTTGCAAAAATTAATAGAATTAAAATAAGTGAATATTACCGCAAGTTGAATTTTTTTTCTTTTAACTGGAATCGCATGTAAATTTAAGTTGGGAGATACTCATTTTTTTAAAATATATCTGCAGCAGATTCAGCAGAAATTTATTTAAAAAAGATTATTATTATTGGATTAACTCAACTAGTTCGGGCTTTAGGTACAACTTTCTTTCAGAGCTTGTCAACATCTGCTTTTATTACTTTTATGAAGAGAAAACAGAATTATGTAGAATTATAGCAGAAATGTGCGCTTCGAGTCACCTAAACCGCTTACTCTATACTCAGAACTTGTAAGCATAGGGATCAAGGCTCTGAGTAAATATGCAAACTTATGGGGAGATTTTTCAAACTTATGGAGAAAACGTGCTTTGCTATTTCGTTTATCTTATGAAGTGTATCTACCCAGCTGTATAATATTCTGTTTTAAATTCCCCAGAAAAACAATACTACTGGAGCAAAAGAGAATATCTATGAAACAGTTTGTAGTATCCACAGTTGTTTTAAAAATGATTTAAATAGGCTAAAAGGGATAAAGCTGACGTTAATAACAAACTACGTTAAGGAAATTCAAAAGAATTTCAGAAGAATGAAGAGCTTCTTTACCGGCTTAAACACCATATGGCTTGGAAAATGAATAAGTGCTTTTTTGTGTGTTTTTCTTAATTAAATAACCATAGTTTAAAATTCAACAAACTTTAGCAAGAATTTAAGAAGGTAAAATATGTGTTATTATTTTTATTAATACAATGATATTTTCCATCATCACACCATCTGAACAATCAGTGCTTAGACGATATGTCAGAGAAAACGTTCTCGGAGTGAGCATTCAAGGCATAATTACCCTGGCACTTGATGACATACATATATAGCACTGATGACAGACAAATTTTTAAATCTTCTAAATGTTGGTAAACAGCTATAATTTTCAGATAAAACACGGTGGAATCTGAACAAATTTGCTGACACATCAAAAAAATATTTTGATGATAATACCTTAAAATCCTCAACAACAGACAAAAGATACGAGATTTGATCAGCTCGTTATATGCTGATATATGAGGCATGATATACAATTTAGCTTACGTGAGGAAACTTATTGAAATATTTCATTATAAGTTCAGTTTATGATAGACGGTTTTTATAAAGAAATAAAAAGTTTACATTATTTATATTATCACTTACATTATATGACTTGAGATTGCATTATGTAGAACAGAAGAAATAATAAAGAATCAAAATTATTTTATTAATAATAATTAATAAAATAATTTTGATTTCTCATTTTATTTGTGGATAAATCATATTTATCTGCTTGATTTTTTTTGTTTGGCATTAGCTCTTTGATTCGAGAAAGACTCAAAAATGATACCGAAATGTGTTTAAATATTTCAAAATTAATTAAATAAATTAATTACTAAAATTTCAGATCACATCTAATTTACAAAATTATTCTAATCTACAAATTCTAAACTACAAAAATTCAGAAACCAGGTCTTACCTGGTAATTTACTTTGTTTTTCAGTTTATTAATTTCAACTGGAGGGCTTAAACACGTGTTGTTTGGTTCATTCTAAAGTATCAAATTCATAAAGTATATCAGAATACTTGAAAATACTTTTGAACTCTTAATGATACAAAAATCCATTACTTTACTCACTTTTTCTTGGCCAATATCACCAATGTAGCTTACAGATTTATCTTCCGGCTGAAATGAAGATATCAGATGGATTAATGTTAAATATAACAAAAAATACTAAATTCACTTTATATTAAGTAAACAATTTTCATATAATATTACTATAAAATGCAACTGTAGTTGTAGAGACATTACGTATTTTTGGAAGCAGGCAAGATGAAAAATTAGCAACGCCTTCGCCGGGAATCGAACCACGGACTTCTCAATTACGCAGCGAGCGTGCAGAGCACTATACCACGAAGGCTCGCAAAGAAGGCAGGAGAAATACCTTATATAAATTTAGAATATCATCAAAGGTCATAAAAAATTACTTTTTTACTAAATCTTCGTAAATTTTACAGTGCAACACATTTTATTCAGCTGTTTTTATTACCATGTAATGGTTTCTGAGACAGTTAATGATGTATAATTTCTTCTCATTCTGATCGCATATACATTTTCGAGAGAAAAGTTAGACCATCTGCACAACATTTGTAGCTCTATCCCTAAAACTTTGTAATATTAATGATGAGAACTTAAAATATGATTTAAAAAAATTGAATACTCAAAAGTTGGTGTTCCGCGGCTTAAAGAGCTTTTTTCTTCTGACTGAAATACTCAAGTCTGTCAGTTCACCAGCGACATATTTATTTATTTGACCTTTATAATGGAATAAATGAAAAACTGCAACTTATAGGAAAAGATTTATATGTTTGTCTATTTGACAGATTGTTTGGAAACAGGCATACATGAAGTTTCAGAAGTATTGTTCAGAAATATGCATGCAGATCCGCAACACGATAATAGATCATAATCCTGTAGGAATATAGGACTGTATGCGCAAACCCGACACGCAAGAGGGCGCTGAACGTCGAGATGAAGTCTAGCCAGGATAAAGTGACAGAAAGCTTTTGTGGGTCTACATGAAAAGCCTAATATATGATACCCCTGTGGTATCGGACATGGATCTAGTGGCCCGCATCTTTGTTGCAAGTGGTGATGTTGCTGATACACCCGGCATTCTTGCAAACGTTCTTCGATCGATGCCTCCTCGTTGCAAGGCGTGAATTGCATCTTTCAAACACCTGCTTTAACAATTTCATTTCATGTAATACTATTTGAAACAAGTGACCTGTCTTACGTCTTTCTGTCTCTATCTTTGAATTGCGTACAAATGTTCCAATATAAATGTTACTGCACCCATGCAACCGAATATAACATCACATAACATGGCACTGTGTTGCACAGTGTCAATCTAAGGTCTTATTTTTAAAATACTATAAAATTAATTGCATCAATTACCCTCAACGGCACTCTATAATGCACCATCTGCTCATGTACATAAATGTACCATGTACGTATTGTTTATGAATCGAATGATATAAGTATTGTAAATAGGTAGTACAATATAGCATTGTAAATAGGAAAGCGGTATCCATGCACCCGCATATATTTCTACGTAACGTGACACAGTAAGGCAAATTATCAACCTAGTGTCCTATTATGAAATTAATAACCCCCCGTTACTAGTTATAACATTGTTTTATGGATCTAGAGTTTATGTAAGTATATGAAGTAAGTACCAAATGTTTATGTCACCAATGAATATTATGTACCAAATATAAGCGTATATACGCTTTTGTCTATATGTAATTTTGTCTGTATGTCTTTGTTTATATGTAATTGTATCCATGCACCTACTAGTATTATCACACAACTTGGCACTGTATAGATTAATATACTACATTTCTTACGCACTGAATAATCATGTACCTAATGTGTGTGTACCCAATAGCTATTGTGTACCTAAAATGTCTGTACATATGTATATGAATTTATGTTCTGTATATATGATAATGTAACTATGCATTTGCACATTTTATCCTGTAACACGGCACCGTATCGCAAAAATCAAACTAGGGTCCCAGTCTAAAATTAATTGCGCCAATTATCTGTTCATCATTGTATTAAGTACCTATTGTTAATGTATGTTAAAGCAGCACGTACATAACGCTTGGGTACCCACTGATTATTGTGTACCTAATACACGTGTATTAAATATCTTTGTACATAGGTTAATGTACCTAGGAAACAGTACAAATAATCCAGTAGCAATCTAACTTTTAATTCACTGAACTAATTACTTTTCTAGCATAACATTGTGCACCTAATGTTTCAGTACGTACATGTCTTGTGTATCTAATGATAATGCTTCAAAGGATCATAGTGTAACCAACATATAAGTACACACGTTATGTATATGTGCTACCGTATCCATGCTTTTGCATACACCTTGTAGCATGGCAATGTATTACCTAGTGTCTAACATTAATTAGCTTTACCACTGTGTTAAGTACCAAGTATGTATGTTTATGTCTTAGTGTATTAGCACAATGACTACGTATGGTTATCTAGATAAAGGTGGACGTGGCGCTATACTGATTAACCATATTGGTAGAGAGGTGGTGCCCACGTCCTCCGTCGCATGTCTCTGTCTCTGCCTGTAGCGCGTCGGGGTTGCGCATACGCACCTGTATTCCTATGCAATTACTGCTTGTTATTGTGTTCCTCCACGTACATTTCTGAACAACAGTTCTAAAAACACCCTGTTTACACGTTTCTTTCGTCAAACAGGCTATTAATTTTACCACTGTGCTGATTGTTTCACTAAAAGGTGAGTAGGAGAAAATCCTGTACTCAATAACGCGCAGTAAACTCCTAAATTTTACGAACAATTTAGCAAAATAGGATCAATTTATAAGTTTTTAGTCTTAACGCACTCCTAGTGTAAATATGAATAATGTTAAATGTGTTCAGATTTTATTTATTATATTAAAATTATTCATGTACAATCACCATTACTGGTAACATTCATTTTTGGTGAATTTCATTATTAACAGCGCTGGGAGTTCGATTTCAGGTGAACGAGCTGGCTGCATGATTGGCTGTTTTTTATTTTACCTATATATGTAAGATGAATGCAATGCATTTTCCCTTAGAAAGTCCTCCGCAAAGGCGTCCCTTCCCTTAGACAGATGTAGTCCTCGTTAGCTTTGCCATATTCAGTTAACATAGCCTGACCGTAATTAACGTAATTGGAGAAAAAATTCTTAAAAGGATAAAATGCAAATGCTATAATTGATTTACTTTAAATACAGCCAGAAAGGATTACAGATGAAAATATTATAGCAAGCGAAATTGCATCCAAGTAATAATTATAAAATGGTCTAAATAAGCACAATTGAACAGAAAGTTTCGAAGCCATATATCATGAAATTTTATGATTGCCATGACACATAGCACGTCGGCAAAAGAAATAATACGTCAATTATTTTATAGAAATGTGGAATATTGTAACGTTGATTGCAAAAGAATGTTTAAAGTCAAGCAAAAATAATTCCAGATTCCAAAAGAATTCCAAAGATTCCAAAAGAATGCTTAAAGTTAACTCTCGATTAACTGCGTTACTGATTAGTTGAGACCTGTCTGAAAATGCTAAGTTTGTTTATAGCGGAAGGGAAAAATTATTATTACAAACCATCAGCATAAAAGAAAACTAGGTACGGAAAAAAAACAAAAGGAAATAAAAACGCTTGGGATAACAGATTGATAGCATGTATCAGATGAACTCTTTTTAAAACACCCAGTACTTTACCCGCTGATTTAATTTATGTAACTAATTGAATTTACTATCCATATTAAACTGCTTGAAAATTGTGAATACGGGTTATTTTCCCTTTCCTGTGTTTTCATTAACTGCCTTCCGGTTTAGCATTAATCGTGGACGTAATGCTCAGAAGTTGTCATAATTTTGCTGAAAAAAATCTATATTTTTTTATTTTTATCCAGCATCTTTTAAGCTTTTACATTCTGTAGTAGATGATAACAAAATTCTTTGATATGGACATTATTCACTTTAGAGCTGACCAGACAAAAGGCCATTTCAAATGCGTAGCTATTAAATATCTAATAAATAACATAGATTATTGTTATTTATTACAGATTTCGCTAATTCTATCGCGGTATTAAATAATGTAGAATCGTACAAATAATAAACATTGCAAGTTCTTTTGATTAAAGGTTTGTGCCATGATACTTGTACATGGGTAAATGTGTTGACCACAGGAAATGAAGGATGTCTTATTTATGTTTTATACTGTATCTCAGATAAGTAAGAAAGATAACAGCTCAATCTACTCGAGAAGGCTGAAAATTACTTCATTTCAATAAAAAAGTAATCAGAAATGAATCTGAAGTTCAAAACAGTTTGATTGTACTGTCAATTAAAAATGTAATGCTGTAAGCTAATTTCAGCAGAAGTATCATTTATAAAGATTAAGAGTTTCACTTTTTTAGTTCTAATAAGAAATTATCTTTAAGTGTATTAAATGCATTTAGGACCAGATCTCAAGTTAATTTGAAGCAAGCCTTAAAATATTGAAATCATGTGTAACAAATAAGAAATAGTCTTTTAAATTCCGAAATGTTAAAGCAGTTCAGAAAATCAGCTTTCTTACTGACAGGGGTAAAAAGGACCTGCGAACTGTTCTGTAATACATAATATCGCACTAGACCTGTATCATATGAACCGGGATAAATATTAAAATTGAAAGATGACAGTCGCAGAAAAATCTAACGAGGAACGAAAGGCGCAACTATAAATTAATTATAATCAAGGAAATCTTTATACATTTTCATTACACAATACATACATTATAATTACATATCGTGATAAGTATACCTTTATAACTGCTCCGTCGAAAGACTTGAACCCACACATCCTCGTACTGTGACGGATAAGTTTGCACAGCATCGTTTTAGCTCCTCTACAAAAATAATAGATTGATTTGGGGGAGATGATGAGATTGAAAGGAGGTGGAAGAGTAGAGCCTTCATCAAAATAACTCATCCACAGCTTCGATCGAGCGAATTTCCATTCTCTATCAGCATGGTCCTGAAATGAATTTTCCGTGAGTTCTAGGTCTATTTTTTTTTCAAATTATCTCTTTCATAGGTCTTTCTCATTCTGGTACTTACGTTTCTTTCTTTTTTCCAAACTTGTGAAATAAAAATGTATATTACGCTTTTTATTAGAATCCATGAATTTGGATTGAAATTCATGAGAAAATATTAGAGATTTTAATGCACACGAAAAGACAAGTTAACTGATGTTACACATGTAAAAATGTACCCATATACTGACACCCTGGAACCTTTTGGGGGAAAGGATTTAATTTCTACTGTGACAAATCCAAGCTGATTATTGTTAACAACCAAAACCTTTGCTGAAATGTACGTTAAAACACACATGCGATGAAAGAAAATATAAATTCCGTGTTACTGGTTACACATTCAGGTAACTGAAACTATTCTCAGAAGAAATCTTCATAATTCAAAAAACAGATAAAAAATTGCGAAAAATTAGGTAATTAAAGAAGTTGAAAAAATCAAAGAAAGAGAAAAACTGAAGTAAAAGTTTCTTAAGAATGCTAATATTTACGTATAAATAAAATAGAGTGGCATGGCTAGAAACTAAATTTATTGGTAATGAATAAGAATTGTATTGGTAATGAATAAGAATTGTTATCACGTAAAATCAAGATAACTATTTAGGAAAAGTACTTTAATAAGTTTTTACTTTCCCCGGTATGAAAAAACTTAACAAAAGTATCTAAACTGGCATTTACCTAAAATTCGAAAATAATAATAACAGTATTGTACCATAATTAACATATTTATTTAGTAAATTTTATTACATAATTATACTATTAATTATAAAAGGAATTCTATCTGCGCAAAGAAATATAAAAAGATGTAAAAGAATTCTATCTGCTACTGAAAGAGCCAAAAGTGATATTATATTTCCTAAATATTTTATTCATTGAGGATAAGCAGAAAGCGATATGGCAGAATTAAAATTCATTAAAACTGAATTAAGATAAGAAATAAAGGGAAATGTATGAAAACACAATACAGTGCAAATTAAGGAATGCATATATACATATCTGTAGATACAAAGTGTTAAAAAAGAATCATAATTATTCAGCTTTTAATTCGCTTTGATCGAATAATGTATAGGTAGAAAGAGGGAAAACTCGAGTTGCATGGAGTTGGCGACAGGTAAACCCTCTTTCTTCGTTCGCCACGTAAGTGTTGGTATAGATGGCGACTGTGCAATAGAAATCGTTTTGTGCCGTAAGCTTCCCGAAGTGAGATTCCAAAAATACTGTTCAGCGTGATTTTCTTCAACAGTACCTAATCAACAACTTAGCGATCAGAGTATTAGGGAATCGGTATAAACAATTCGAAAGCACGAATTGTCTGTATAAAAGGAAATCACCAAGCCGTCTCCACATGTCAGACGAAAATGCGGAGAGCTTCCTACAGAATTTCGCCAGTAGTACACAGAAACCATTCGCCGTATCGGCAGGGAACTGGGCATTCTTGCAACATCTATCTGTTTTGCGGAGACGTTTGGTTTTTAAACCGCATGATTCAGTTGCTGCAAGGTCTTCATTCAGGAGTCAAAGAGCGATGTGTGGATATTTGTGAATTCGTCCTTCAGAATATGTAACAATATGGCAGTTTTTTTAACAAGCTTCATGTTTAGTGACGAGGCTAATTTTCATCTACGTGGCAAGTTCAACAGCTACGATATTAGAACATGCCACATTGAATTGTAACAGCCACATCAAATTAAACAATATGAAAGAGACTAACTAAAACTCAATGTTTTCTGCAGTATTTCTCGGTAAATTGTTTATAACCCTTTTTTTCATACAGGCCACTTTTACGTGAAGTACATATATTAATATGCTTGAAAACCGGGTTTTTCAACAGTTAGAAACCGATTCGGATGACTTCGTTTTCCAACAGGACGGGGCATCACCACCCCACTGGATCTGGAAGTTCGGAAATGTTTGAATAATTACATTCCTCAACGATGGATCGGCCGTTCGGGACCTGACCATTTAGTTCAACATCACTAACCTACAAGATCACCGGACATCTCAGTGTGCGATTTCTTCTTGTGGGGGTGTATAAAAGACTCCGTTTATGTGGTCTCTACTTTTAGCTACATTAGCCGAACTGAAGATATGTGTAACAACAGCCATGGAAGCAGTGGATGCAGATACGCTCAGAGACGTATGCCGCGTATCCAAAGAGGGACATATTGAAGATCTTTTATTTGGTTTGTTTAAAATCTTTATAATTAGCCATGTAATATAAAATTAATCTTAAGTTTCTAAGCTGAGTATTTTTCATAACAAACGCATTTGGAAACGGGTGATTCTTTTTTAAAACAGTTTGTATATATATAAATAGATAGATAGATAGATATAGATAGATATTGATTGATGTTAAAAATTAAAGGATAATTTTAAAAGTTTAATGCCGACTGAATGTAATTACTTGTGGTAATTGTGTGTTTTACTAAACGAAAAAAAAACTTCTGATTTCTATGTATTTGGGCACAGGACATGAAAACAATATGAATGCAACTTACGCGAAGTTGCCTACACATCTTGGTTAAATGAGAAGTTTTAACTTTGAAAGTGGCAGATGTTAAGCATGGCTTAATGTTTCGATTATATGAAGGCCAGAATTAGCGAGAGGATGGTAGAATAAGGAGAGTCAAGAACAACTGAACATCTACGGAGAACTAATACTGTCCACAGAGGAGTCTCAGGATATTCTACCCCAATGGCAGGGAGTAGCAATTATGGGCGTTGGCCACTACTAAGGCCTAAAGAGATGGTAACGTTATTACGGAGGCACCTAATAGGTGGGCTTTCGCTGCCTCTTGTTAAAGGGACAGACAGTTTACATCTATGCTTCTCCGGGATTCAAGCTCGGGTCCTTCAGTCAGGCAATTAAAATCACTAACCACTTTCCCGTCTGAGCGGCGTCTCAGGAATCTGGATCCGCCTTTTAAGCTTGGTAACAATTAGTCTCCTTTCTTGCTTATCAAAGTAGTCCTTCGGTTACACTAGCATCTGAAGATCTATATTTGTTACTGAAAGTATGGAAGAAATCGTTAAGCAACAGGAAATCAAACGGCTTATAACCTGTCATTATCACATACTGGAATAATACCTTTTCCTTACTACTACAGGATTCAAGATTACGGTGTTTATGCGAGAAGATTAATGCCCTGCCTCCAGATTTCTGCGTTTTCCTGAGGAGAGAGTTTAAACTGTCATCTTCATAACCAATGGATCCACGCTGACTGAGCATTAGTACTGTTCCCGGGTGAATCCAGGTTTAGTTTAAGCAGTGACTGTGAACGGAATTTCATCTAGAGACAGCTTGGATCATGCCGAATTCCATCGCATATCCATGAAAGATAAGCGAAGCGAGTGGTTTACTTATTTGAAGGGAATTCATAAGGTAAGTCCACATTGAACTCCATATTTGTGGCAGAGTTTCTATAACCGCAGGGATACCTAAATGGGACTTTGTGCCCCTAACTATGGCTTTTTAAGGATTATTCGAACACCACTGGATGATAAGAGCTCACAAGCAAAGAATCCAGCTTTTGCATAACGATTGTTTCGTGCTAGAAATGACAGATAACGGTCTTTAGATGCTGCAGCTTGCCCAGCTACAGGAGTAATTGTAGCCAGGCTTTTAAAGGATCTTTTAGTTTCTTGAGATCACTCGTTGGAAAATATTCAGTTCTTTGTAGACGTCCAATTGTATTTGACGCGTCTCGATTCTATGATCTTCACGATGTCTTTCAGTCATGTTTAATAGCATAAGATCATTTCTAAAATTAAGAACTTGAGTTTGATGTTTAAGTTAAATTAAACTAACTGTGACGTTTATGTTAAGATAAGCTTCAAATTTATGTTAAATTTTAAATTAAGTGGCATTTAAGCTAAGCCTTTAGTTAAAGTTAGGTTAAACTAAGTTTAAGTTTGACGTGTATTGCGATTCCTTGTCTGATTCACACGCATTTGCTTATTTGCATACTCTGTGCAAGCATCCCAGCGCAGCAGTCAGTAGTTTTGAGTTCAGTAGTCCATAATTACCTTAAATAATAGCAATCAGAGAAATCCTAATATGTCTTCATAGAATTAATATAATTTTTATAATTATTATTTGACTTTGGAAACTAGTGTAAGTACTCATTTAAACATAAGTATAATACAGTTCTGCAAAAATCAATCAAAATATATACTATATAAATGAATGTAAATAATTCAAAAGTATAGCCTGTACTAAGACATAAACTTAGATTCAGTTCAGTATATACTGTAGACATATATGATATTATACAATGATTACTTGACAGACAGACACATGTTCAGTTTTAGATGTTATGTTGTGTTTTGTAACATGAAATACAATTGCAGAAGTGTGGAATTTGGATAAACCCCAGTCTAGAGAAACAGAGAAAAACGTTTTACATTCCATATGATAAGCAATAGAAAACCTTTTTTTCTGTGTGTGTGCTTTTGATTTTAGTAAACAACATGCATCTTTTTAGTTAACGAATTTTTAAAAATTCTCAGCTGTTACTCAAAACAACTATAGTGATTGTTTGCTGCATTCAAGAACTTCGAATTAGGACGAGAAAAAAGTTGTTTTCTAGCTAGAAAAAGAATTAAATAAAAATTTATTTCAGTTTCGAGGTACTTAAATTTATCTATAAGTTACAGTTTATGCATGAAAAAAAGAACAAAATAATGACGAGGCTTTATAACGTAATATAAATATCGCCCCGAATTATATATATATATATATAATTAATTTTAGGTAAAGTACATCCAATGCTGAAGTAACTTTTGTATAATGTAACATGAAAAATTTGAAGAGGTGAAGCTTTGCCAAAGAAATAAGACAACAGGGGCAAGTCACTTTAGCACTGAGTAAATGGTATCTCTTTAAGTTGGCGAGATAACTCTAAGCTAGACATGATTTGGGAACTGAAAATTGGCTATAAATCGC